TTGATCAAAATGAATCTCGTCTGCAAGTCTCAGGTGAACCTGGTTTTCTTAGTCAAAAACAGTTTGAGTTCCAACCCGAAGAAATATATGATTCGATAAGCGAAGACGAAGCTTCAGTCAATGAATTCAAGGAAAAAGAAGAAGATGACATAGCCATTAAAGAGGGCTATGTTAAAACTGAAGAGATTTCTACTTTACAACCAAACACAGAAAATAAGAAGAAAAATGAACTATGTATTGGTATGGAGTTCAGTTCTAATGAAACTGCATATGACGCTTATAAAAAGTTTGGAGGGGAACACGGTTTCAATGTAAGGAAACAGCGGAGGAAGAAAAAAAATAATGAGGTGGTGAGGCTTCTTTATGTTTGCTCAAAAGAGGGGTTTAGGAAGGAACCTAAGATACATGTTATTCACAACCAATTACACGGTGTGGTTGTGAAGCTCGTATGACTTGCTACGTTCAGAAGACAAGAAAATTTAAGAACGTGTCTTTCAACCAGGATCATAACCATGATTTAGTGAAGACGCCTATAAAGCACTTGTTGAAGGGAAACTGAATGGTCTCTGTTTCTCAAACACAACATGCTGATAATGCCGAGATATCACGAATTTCAGCAAAATCAATTGTTGAAATGATGAGTAGAGAAGTCGGGGGACGAGGAAATCTGGGTTTTTGGAGAAACATTATCGAAATTACATTTATCGAAAGCGAATGGGAAAATGGTGAAGGGAGATGCTGGAGCAGTTTTGGAATACTTTCAAAAAAAGAAAGAGTATAGTTTATCTTTTTTTTTTATTCAATGCAACTTGATGAGGACGATATGATCACAAATATCTTTTGGGCAGATGACCGGTCTATAAGTGATTACAATCTTTTTGGAGATGTTGTTTGCTTTGACACAACTTATAAGACCAATGAATATTATAGACAATTTGCTCCATTCGTCGGGGTCAATCATCATAAGCAAACTGTTGTGTTTGGTGCAGCTCTTTTATATGATGAAACCACAGAGTCGTATAAGTGGCTTTTCGAGACTTTTTTTGGAGCAATGTCTGGGAAACAACCAAAACAATTCTTACAGACCAATCTGCAGCAATGTCTGGGAAACAACCAAAAACAATTCTTACAGACGAATCTGCAGCAATGTCGAATGCAATAGTGAAGGTGTTCCCTGAAATAAAGCATAGACTATGTGTATGGAATATTTACCAAAATGCTGCAAAGAAATTGAGTCATGTATTTCATGGGCCAGGACATTCTATCATAGACTTTGGAAAGTGTGTATATGACCATGAGGAGGAAGTTGGCTGGTTATTGGCATGGAGTAATATGCTTGAGAAGCATAATTTGAGAGAGAATAAATGGCTGCAAAATGTGTTTGATGTGAGAAAAAAATAGGCAATGGTATATGGACGTCATACTTTTACAGCAGATATGGTGAGCACACAGCGTAGTGAAAGTATGAACAATATTTTAAAAAGATACTTGAAGAGCAGTTATGACTTATTGTCCTTCTTTGAACACTATGAGAGAGTGTTTGATGATCGACGATATAATGAATTAATTGCTGACTTCAAAATAATGCATACCTCGTCAGTATTATCTACTACTGTAGAGATGTTGCAACATGCAGAAGAAGTGTATACACCCGAAATATTTTGCTTGTTTCAGAAGCAATACACAGTTACCGGTGATTATGTTGCAAAAAAGGTCAGTAAGTCTGAGATGGTGAATGAATACAAAGTATCTTATCGTGGTGGACCACAAGAGTATCTGGTTAATTATGATGCTATCAACCAAGCAATACAGTGTAGTTCCATGAAGTATTCTTTTGCTGGGATCTTATGTCGTCATGCATTAAAAGTGTAGTACTTAGGGATCGAATCCATAGAGACTCAAAGATTACACAATAAATATTTAGTATCAAATTAAGCTAAGCAAGAAGGGTTTTAAAATTTAATTCAAACAAAAAGCAATTTTAAAAAGAGGTGTTAATTCAGTGGGAAGCAAAGCTAGGCTGAGGGATTCTCAGGATATCAATCAAATTAAATAAATTAATAAATTAGGATTCAGATTAAGCGTGGTTCTTGAACTCAAATCACAAAAGTAAAAGTCTACCAACTTTCGCTGCAATAATTAACTATGTCTAAAACCCTAATTTCTAAATCTCTTTACAAATTCATAATTTTAAGACATGAATTAAATTCAAGTTTGATATGTTCACAAAATCCCTAACTCAAATCTCTTTGCGAATAAGTATTTTGCTCACCCTAAGTAATTAGTCACACTCTCATGTCAAACTAATTATCCTAAGATCTAGATTTTAGGTGATCAATTTAAAACTAGCATTAAGAACAACCTATGGTGAAAAAAATAAGATTATGAAACCTAATCTAACAAATCTATCTAACAAGTCATGAAATCCCTAATGAGAATCCTCAACCCTAACAAAGAAAAATACTCAGACATCATGTAAAAAGCAAACATTTTGAACTGAATAATATAGATTAAGAATATCAAAAGAGAAATAAATGAGTTCAAAATCTCTCTCTCCCAAAAGCCCTCAAACAATTCTCTCAATAGTTTACAATAGAATAAAGTATAAGTCGTTGATAAAAAAAAAGAATAACGCATAAGTCTTAACAAAACCCTAAAAACTCAATATATATGTATAAACCACTAATTGGGCTTAATTGCAAATAAGGAAAACTTCTGAGCCGAATTCGTAAATCTTCATAACTGCCAAAAGATGCGCAATTCAATTGCCGTCATATATTGGTGTCGACCGACACCAGGGGTAGTGTCGATCCACACTCATACCAAATATGCTCTTCGAATGCGTTTCTTCAGCCCATCTTCTCCAAATTCTCCAAATTCTCCAATGTGCTCTAAAATCTCCAAATAACTCCAAAACATAATTAAAACTGAAAAGACTCAAAAAACTATAATAACTATATAAATAAGACTTATATCATGGCCATAATATATCAACTCTCCCAGACTTAGTCTTTTCTTGCCCTCAAGCAAAACATAAACTTAACCTCTGAAAAAAGTTTGAAAACGCGGGAACTCAGTCAATATATTTTTCAATAAATGGACAAAATTGTTGAACCAATTTTTGTCGACTAGACTCGAGCTAGTTATGGCGGATCATATGTAGTGGACCAGATCTCTTGGACGAAATCTCTTTTTTATTTTGATTTTGTCTTTTTTTTTTCTACGAGGGCAAAATCATTAATTCATAACTGCACACAATTATGAAAAGAAAAAATAGCATAAAAACCTACTTTTACCTAAACTATTTGCCAAAAAACCCACTTCTTGCTACCACCATACTTTCTACTAACAAAATGACTAACAAACCCTTCAAACATTCTAACACATTTCTTTCCTTTCGTTTCTCTATTTTGTATATTATTATTATTATAATATTATTATTACAACAAAAACAAAAATTTGGACCTCTCGCTGCTCTTTTTCTCTCTATAGTCATTGTTATCGGGGTCCCACTTTTTTTGCTGGGAGAAGAAAGATTTCTGTTTTTCTTTCGTTTTACTTCAAATTTGGGGGGGGGGGAGGGAGGTTTACGGTAGGAAAGCTATTGAAAGAGAGAAGATCGAGATTCCCCATCCAATGACTAAACTCACTGATGTCGTCTCCGACAAAACCAATGAAGAACCATGATAAACCAATCGAAGATGTTGCTTCGTCAAACACGGCGGCGATCTTAGTTTGTTCATCAAACCTTTAATTTCAGTTGCATCCACCGTTAACCATCTACTCAAAGCCTTGTTTTGTTTTTGATTGTGTTCTTATCCATCAGTTTCTGACACTCCTTAGGTTTCTAACGCTAATTTATATATATCTTTGTTGTATTCTGCAAATATGTCTCTAGTTTTTCCAGAATTTTATGAGTTCTTCTGAGGTATCCATGGAACTTTGTACATATGGTTATCATTTGTAGCAAACTAAACCTCCAACGAAAGAGAAGAAAGGGATAAGGATTCTGATTCATGGTCATGGTCAACTTCATATCTCAAAAGTAAATGCAATTTACCCCAATCATGGCTTTGGTGTTGCATTTTCTCTCATCTATGATCATTACAATATACTTTATATTTCATACGCTAAATGACCATATGGTCAAATCCGTGTGGAATCAGCAGTAACCTATTTAAGTTTTACTATTTAGGTTTAAGGGTTTAGTATTTAGTGTTTTTATTTAGGGTATAAAGTTTAGGGTTTAGGATATAGGATTTTTTTTGTTTTATGTTTAGGGTTTAGATTTTAGTGTTCAAAATTTTTTTAAATCCATGTGGATAGAATCGGTTGTTCACATATACATTTCTATTAGTGAACACGTGTTCAACTACATATGGATAACATAAAATATAAAAATTCATCAAAAATATAGCAAAATGGTCTTAAAATGTAGGAAAAATATAATCATAAACTATTGTACAAAAAAATATGTACAAAAAAAATAGATAATATTTTGACAAAAATTATCTATAGTGAAAACAAGAAATAAAAGAAAGTGAGAAGAGAATAGAAAGAAACTACAAATATTTTTCCTTCACTTCAAATCCGACGGTTGAGATTAGATGAACCCAAGTACTCTTTCAAACACAACAAAAGGTTATTTTCGTCTTACAATTTGACACTTCAGTCGAAAAGATGTGGGAATGTACACCTCTCTTTCGAAGTATGTTATCTTGCAAAGAAAAGCAAGCAAAGTAGGTTATTCAGCAATTCACTTTTATGAAAATGTCATGTTTTAAAAGAGTTGGAGAAATGACAGTTTTACACTTTTTAGTTTTGAAAAAGACAGCCCACAAAATTCTCTTAAATTTCTATATTCGAAATATCCAGACCCGAAAAACCCTATCCATCCAACCCGAACATCCGGACGCCGCAAGTAAAAAACTGAGATTACTTAAGAAAAACCGAAATCAGAAAACCAATTACGGTATTGGTTTAAATGTTATTACGCCTTAACCAATATCTTTTGCCCAGAAAAAAAAAAAAAACCAATATCTGAAGAAGGTAGAGCAAAATCGTGTGTGCATTGATCTGATAGAGCAGCAAGAATGACTACCGTCATTAAGAAAAGAGTTCGAATTCTATCAACAGGCCCCTCCGATGCGGTAATCTTCTTGCTTTTCTTGAATTTTGTCGTCCTAAAGGCTTTTGATTTTGGTTACCCACTTTGAGAAACCATCGAAATTCTCATCCTTTTGGTCAATTTTGATACAGGATGATCAAAGAAACCCTAAAACTCACGAGAATGGAGGAAAGGTTCAAACTTTAGGGCAAAGTAAGGTTGGTGGTAGTGATAATGTGGTAAAGTCTAATACTTGTTTCGTGTGTGATGGGAAAGACGATTGGGTATTGGTATGTTACGGAGAGGAATGTCCTATTGCTATTCATCAAAGCTGTGCATCTGATGAACCTGATTTCGATGAATTTGGGAATTTTTATTGTCCTTATTGTTGGTATAAGCGTGTGGTTTCGAAGTGTGTGGAGCTAGGGGAAAAGCTTATGGTGAGTGATAAGTCTAGAAAGGGATGTAGAGAGACTTTAGGAGGTGTAGATTTGGGAACTGAAGATATGGAGAATGTTGTGGAGGTTAATGTTTCACTAGGTAGAACATTAGCTAGTGGTGAGCATAGTGGGAGGGAAGGTGATGGATTGAATGATAAAAAGAATCAGAAGTTGAAAGAAGTTGCAGCTCAGACTCGTTCTCGGGTAAATTCTAAGGCGGGTGATACTGATTTGGATACGGGAAGAAAGCAGCGAGGGAGATTTGATGAGAAGAATCATGAAACTTCTGATGCTTTTATATCTAATACTGATGAGGACCATGAGGGAAGCAGTTCTGATGTAGGTAGGGAAACAAAGCCACAGAAAAGATGCGAAGATGTAAACCATGAAACAGCACAAGCGCACAGTTCTGTTGTGGGTGTCAAAACAAAAGAGAAGAGGAGATACAGTGAGAAGAACCAGCAAAACAAAACAGTTTCAGGAACTCATGAGCAGGAAGTCTTTGTTAATGATGAAGGAACAAAAGCGCATAATTCTGATTTGGGTGATGGAAGAAGAAGTGGGAAAGGATATTGCCATGAAAAGAATCAGCAAAACAAAGTGTCATCTCCTGAAAGATGTGAGCAGAAAGTTCCTAGGACGAATAAAAGGGTCTCACACGGCTCTGGATTAGCGGAGGAGAGATATCCGGAGGAAAGATATAGGGAGGAAAGGCATATTGAAAAGAACCAGCAAAAGAAAGTGTCATCTCCTGAAAGATGTGAGCAGAATGTGCCTAGGACCAATGAAAGGGTGTCACACTGCTCTGGATTAGGGGAGGGGAGATATCGGGAGGAAAGACATATTAAAAAGAACCAGCTTCCCAAAACTATTGAAACGGAAAGTCTGGCGACTGAAGTTTTCAAGGATCGGAAGAGAAAGCGAGAACGAGGAGTGGAGAGAGATCGAGATGAGTTTTATTTGGCGGAGAATCAATACATACAATGCCAACCTGATATGAGAAATGATGATGTGGCCTTTAATAAGCAAGAGAATGGTTTCAGAAATGATGAACGAGTAAAGCAAAAGTCTGTATCTTCTATTTCATCTACTGAGTCTACTAACAGTGTTAACGAATCTAATGTACCTTGTCAAGAGTTAACTTTGATCATCCACCCGAAGGTTGGTGTACAAGATAAACCTATTGAAGCACGACCTCTTCGCTCCATCTATTCAAAGAAACCATCTTTCCAACCTGAAAAATACGGACACAAAAGTTACCAGGAGAAGAATGGAGCTGTGTCTAATGATCCTGGACAAAGGTTTCTATTCATTTGGAACCTCGTGGCACTCAAATTTTCTTTAGCATAATGGATGTCTTTTGAAAGAGTCATAAGCAGCAACTAACAATTTTGCTTTCTTTCGATGTGCAGGAAGTTTGTTTTATGCAGTGACAAAAAACGTAAAAGACTATTTTGGACACAGGCAGAAGAAGAGATGCTTAGGGTATGAAACTTGCACATTCCTCTCTAGCCTACTTAGATTTCATGCTGCAGTCGTCTTGATCGTTTTGTAGTTTGGAATTTACACATTCGACGACTTTTCTTGAATCTTTACTCCTGTTTTAGTTTATCAGCTTTATAAAAACATCCAGGAAAGCTTGTTTTATCGTCTCCTAAGAGGCTGCATTTCCTTATCAGCTTTAATGCTATTGCTTTGTAGATGAAACTTCAAAACAAAAGTGTATTTCTCCGCGCATGAGATAAATAACATTGCTTGTCGCTGTCCAAATTAGAGTCTTGCTATGTAGTGCACAATAATGTGGGTTTGTCTCACTTCTTCCTGTCCTTTAGGTTGGTGTGCAGAAGTTCCTTGTAGGCAGGAATATTCCATGGCGCAAAATCTTGGAATTTGGTCGGGATGTGTTTCACGATGGACGTGCTCCAAGCGATCTCAAGGACAAGTGGAAGATGATGAACAAAATGGCTTGTGACACAGGGAATTGGGTAAGACACCAAACTGAAAGACAACCAAATTACTATGTGTCTGAGGTTAGTTCTGACTGAGCTTTGGGATTATACAAAGCATTAGAGCTTAGAAGAGGATAGGGCGTTGCATTTTTTTGTACAACCTTGTTCATAGTTTGTGAATTGCATTTGTATCATAAACTAATCCTACCTTCCCCAATTTGTATCTCCTCGCCAATTTAGAGAATAATACATAAAGAGTAAGATGAACTCGTGACACAAGTTTATGCTAATATTATGAACCAATGTTTATACTCTATCAATAATGCAAGACAAAGAACAAAACTATATTAAGTTCATTTCTTTTGCACTTGTTGTAAACAAGCAACATTTTCTCTAACTTTTAAAAGATAGAAAAAAAGTGTTTTTAAGATGGAAATGATGACGTTAGAAATTCCCGCCGGTGCATGGGTCCAAGTACAAACTCTTTAGTCGCCACGTGTCCCAGGGGAGTGACACGTACAGAGCCACCATCGTCCACTTTTTGGGCTTCTGTCGGCTTAAACTCTGTCTGATGCTTACTGAGTAGCAAAAAAACTAAAGAATAGCAATGGAGGTTCCCATAGGGTTTTTGGAGAAACTGTGGAGTTTTGTCTCTTTTCTTCCGTACTTCTTCCTCTTATTACTCCTCGGAATCACTAAGGGTATGTTATCATTCATTTAACCTCCTCTTTCTTTGTTTAATCGTTCCCTAAGGTTGTAGTAGAGTTTCTGCAGTTTGTTAGGTCCATAGTTCTCTAATATGTTCTTCTGCACTGTTCATATTAGATTTTTGACTAATGGAACACCTTATAAGAGACTTGGATTCATATTTATACTTAGCCCATAACAAATAATGACATTTAGCTGCATCAAACGTAGAGTAGAGCACTGTAAGTTATGTAGAGTATAAAGCTCTCACTCTTGTTTTGGTTTTGTTTATCAGCTCTGATTGTTGGTCCAATTTCATCTGCTATAATTTTGGTTGGCAATTCTTCTGTCATCATTGGTCTTTGGCCAGCACATTTCATTTGGACCTACTACTGTTTAGCAAGGTGTTTATCTATCATATTCAATACTTTTACTTTTGTAATTTTATCTCTGTTTGCACTGAACATCTTCGTTCTTGTGTTATCTCTAGAACCAAGAGAATAGGGCTGGTTTTGAAGACCTTGGCATTGGTATTGTTTCCTCTGCCGTTACTCCTCTGGCCAGTTGCTGGAATAGTAGGAAGTCTCTTTGGCGGAATCGCCTATGGGTTTTTCACTCCTCTTATGGCTACATTCGAGGCTGTAGGAGAGTCTGTTACTAGCAAATGCTACCATTGCTTTGTTGATGGTTCATTCTCCACTATTAAAGGGAGTTGTACTGTGGTTACGGACTTCACAGATTTCTGCTTCCATTCTTACTTCTCCTACATGGATGAGTTAAGAGAAATGGTTTCAGCCGATGTTGAACCCTTAGAGATAAGGTGAGAATAGCTCTGTTCTTCTGTGCCTGTTAAAGAAAAAACGAATCATTTGTTACACTTTACAGTGACGGCGTAATCTTATTTTCTTCCCAGGTTATCTCGATTACCCAGTTGTCTGCTTGCTAGTCTCATAGGTGTGGTGGTAGATATTCTTCTGATAACAGCTGTTGCTATTTACAAAAGCCCATACATGTTGCTTAAAGGATGGAAGAGGCTATTGGAAGACCTTGTTGGTAGAGAGGGTCCATTCCTAGAGACTGTCTGTGTTCCATTTGCAGGTCTTGCTATATTGCTATGGCCACTGGCTGTCGTGGGAGCTGTTATAGCTTCAGTTTTATCCAGTTTCTTTCTAGGAATGTACAGTGGAGTCATCGTTCATCAGGTGGACAGCCAGTACTTAAAATTCTATTCAATGTTTTCATTATCTTAACGAATGGTTTATAGCGATGTCATTGGGGTTTAAGGCTTCATTGAGTCTGAATCTATGTCAAAACTGAAAAGGATTTGAAATAAAACTAATTAACTCTTGAGCTCCTCTGGTCTTGATTTTTTGCTCTTTGTGATATAGTTTACCATATCTGTGACAAAGTTCTGGCCATTTGGGATACTTCATGTTAGCTTAATTGCAGCTTAGCCAGATAATTTGTGTAATCTAGTTATCTGACATAAAAATTCTTGAGACTTGCAAGACACTAGAATGTATCTCTTGTACACCTTAGAATTTCTCAGTTAGTTCCTAGATATTGATAATTTCAGGTTGGTTAGGAGGTCCTTATCTTTTAACTGTTTAATAATTTTTTCAGGAGGACTCTTTCAGAATGGGGCTTAACTATATAGTCGCTGTGGTCTCACTATATGAAGAATATGTTAATGATTTACTCTATTTGAGAGAAGGAACTTGCCTGCCAAGGTATCTAGTGGGGGTTCTGTTCCATTATCGTTTCATCTCCGTGACATAGACCATTTTATTCAGCGATGGTTGATTATTAATTTATGACTGTAAAGTATATATGTTTGTGGCAGCCAGGCCATGCTATAGGAAGAAAACAGAGACTGGTCATGGTAAGAAAATATTAGGAGAGAGGAAGAATGTTGATCTAAAGAGCAAAAGAAGCAGCTCCCTGGGTTCGAAGCTTGTTTCAGAACAATCGAGGACACTGAAAAGAGCAATCACACTATATAAACCAGTTCAGGTATAATACACCTTTATTTTCTTCATATATATTTTGACTCTATAAAAGAATCTCTAATAAGGTGAGTGAACATCTTGTGTCTCTCTTTGAAGGTATGGGAATGGTTGTTCAAGTCATGTGAGGTGAATGGAAGGATACTTCTTCGCGATGGCTTGATAGATGTGAAGGACGTAGAGGAATGTCTTGTCAAGGGTAATTTTAAGAAGCTCTATATCAAACTACCTGCTTGGACTGTATTACAATGTCTCCTTGCATCGGCTAAATCAAACTCATCTGGGTTGGTGATCAGTACGTATACTTGATGAGATCTCTGCACAAATTCTTGTAAAAACCTTCTTTTTCCCCCAACATGTAGACTTATGATTTTGTGATGAATTTCTCGCAGCTGATGGCGTGGAGTTAACAGAACTAAACAGCCCAAGAGACAGAATATTTGTTTGGCTTGTTGGGCCGTTACTAATAATGAAGGAGCAGATAAAAAACCTGAAGCTTACTGAGGATGAAGAGTTTTGCCTAAGGAAATTGGTAATGGTATGCAAAAACGAAAGAACCGAGGACTGGGATAGCACCGGGTTCCCGTCAAGCGATACAGTAAGAAAAGCACAACTGCAAGCCATAATTAGAAGGTATGTATAAAAACATCAGCAGATTAATTTGGCAAATCTTCTTGAGTTACTTCTCTCGTTTTGTGAATTGAGTTCCCATGTGTTGATTCAGACCATTCTTCATAGAAAGTGAGAGGCTTTTTTGCAAAGTTTGGGATGATTTTCTTGATCCTGTTTTGTATACTCATTGAGTACTCTGTTCTTTTCCATGGCAGGCTGCAAGGAATGGTAGCATCAATGTCAAGAATACCAACGTTTCGACGTAGATTCATGAACTTGGTTAAAGTGTTGTACATAGAAGCTCTTGAAATGGGCGCCTCAGGTAATCGTGCTGGTGGGATCCTCAAACCCAACAGCAACCAAACAAGGAATCTCGATCGGACTGAAACACCGGAGATGGATGTTGTATAAGTAGTTGTTACGGTATTTTATCTTTTTTCGTTCGTCCTACACATCAGTCTACCTCTGGGTTCTGGTAACGTTGTTTCAGTGGTATTTTAGGATTTGATATATATTATGAACTATTAAAGTGCTTTTTCTGTGTGTTTATGATATTGAGAATTCGAAAGTTTCAACGTACTCTGTACATATCCGTTGTTGGTTTGGTTTCCAACCGAAGTAAACGTCTTGGCTGTATGCATTACATTAAATCGGTAATCAGCAAAAGGAAGTGTGAAGACTCGGACACCAAACGTGTAGATGCATTCTTAATTAACTAGGACTGTCTTAGGTGGCGCGAAGTGACAAAGAATTGAGATAATAACAATTACATGATTTTTTCAGCTACAAAATAACATCGGTTGAATCTTCGATTCGAGAACTTTAAACAAAGTCGTTTCACTCAATTTCGATTCTCCGTTATTGTTATTGATTTATTCACTGTTTCGACATATATTAATTTTGGCTAATTTCATATAGTTTAAGTTGGAATTTTGAACTTTTAGCGAATTTAAATTGTTTTTGTAGAGTATTTTCCGTTTTGTCGTCCTCATGTCGTTTTTATTAAATAATAGTTAAGAGAAATCGATGAAAAATAAATTTCTCAAACAGTCTATGATTTTGGCTGGTAAGATGGGCAACCGAAGATGAACATTAAAAATATTATTATATAGAGAATTTGTTATAGAAATGTCTATTTTGAGATACCTTTTTCTAAAATGCCAACTAACATGACAAGTAAGCATGTGAAGGTCAAAGAGGTAGAAAAATAAATAAGTTGCCTTGAATCGTGAAATAATAAGACATATGTACTGGAAAGCTTCCACTTCAACAGTCATTTAACTACATCTCTTATTCAGAACTAAGCTTTTAGAATCTCTCTTGTTCCTTAAGCAAAAGTTGGTTCATAACATCTTAAGGAATAAGAGAGATTCTAAAAGCTTAGCTCCCTCTTAACCCTAGTCTCTCTTAGAGATTAAGGTTAATTCTTGGGGCTTGGTTTCACATTAGCATAAAGACCTATATTTATATACGCCATGATACAACTTATAATTAACCTAAACGTTAAAACCAAAACACCTAACCCTAATGTATTAATTAAAGTAAATAATTAAACTACAATATCAAAACCCAAAACACCCAACTTCATCACTAACATCAACCATAGTCACGTATCACATACCCACTGAAAGGATCAACAACAATGAAAATGTGAAATCATTATGAATGGCTTCTTTAATCATACTACCACCCTATTCTATAACCATTTTTTTAACCAGCTTCGTCTAGAATATCAATGAAGCTTTAAGAACACAAGATTGACAAAGTAAAACTCACTTCATTAGCTTAAGAAAATTACTCAAAACTCAAGCTCTCAATCTCTCTTAAAACTCATAGGTTTACCACACCTTGGCAACTCTATATTTATAAGAAAATCCTCAAGCTAATTTCCTTTATCACAATAGGAAATATAACATAGTTCTAGAATTCTTTCTAAAACACTTAACTAATCATAACTCGATTAGGAAAAGGGTTTACTTGCTCTCTAAGCCATCTTCTTCTTCAAGCTTACTCCAACAATCTCCCCCTTAAGCTTGAAATCCTTCTTTGACAAACTGTGAACTCCAATGTGGTCTCTCATCTCTTTGAACTTGTTTTTATCAAGTGCTTTGGTTAGAATGTCAGCTCTTTGTTCCATCCCTGGAACATGTAACAATTCTACTTGACCATTTTCCACACATTCACGAATAAAGTGATACATTCGATGAATATGCTTACTACGACCATGGAAGACCGGGTTCTTGGTGAGTGTGATTGCAGACTTGTTATCAACCAGTATTTTCGCCCTCTCACATGTTGTTCCTGTAATCTCCGCAAAAAGATCTTGTAACCAAATCGCTTGCTTAGCTGCCTCTGTTGCAGCCATGAATTCAGCTTCGCAAGAAGACAGTGCTACGACTTGTTGTTTCTGAGAACACCATGTCAGAGGACACTCATTGAAATAGAACACATGACCAGCAGTATTTCTTCCATCATCAACATCCACAGTATGACTACTGTCACTGTAACAGAGCAAACCTAAATGACTTCCTTTCTTAAAGCAAAGACCATAAACATACCTTGAAGATATCTAAGGACTTGTTTAAGTGCGGCTCCATGTGATTCTCGTGGTTCTTGCAAATACCTACTCAAAATCCCCACAGGATATGAGAGACCCGGCCGTGTATGAAGCAGGTACCTAAGACACCCAATGTTTCTTCGATATTGTCGCTCATCAACACGTCTTGGGTCTTTGTCTTTAGACAACTCCAGTCCGGATTCCATTGGTATAAGAACACTATTGCACGTACTCATCCCAGCTTCCTCTAAGATCTTCTTTGCATTTCTCTCTTGACTTTAAATGATTTCATCTTCTCCTTAAACACTTCGATACCGAGATAATATGTAAGTTTGCCTAGGTCACTCATTTCAAATTTTCTTGACATGCCTCTCTTGAAATCAAGTATCGAATCCAAGCTTGAACCTGTTACAAGGAGATCATCTACATAAACCACAACAACTAGAAGATGACCTTCTTTAACATTTTTCCGGTACAAGGAAGGTTCCTTAGAGCATCGCAAAAATTCCAACTCGCTAAGAATACTATTCAGCTTGATATTCCACGCCCGCGGTGCTTGCTTAAGTCCGTAGAGGGCTTTATGCAATTTATAAACCTTTTTCACTGTTCTTGATAATAAAACCCTCTGGCTGAGTAACATAGACGTCTTCTTTTACGTCTCTATGTAAGAAAGCAGCCTTAACATCGAGATGATGCACTTCCCAACCGTTTGACGCTGCCAATGCAATGATGAAGCGTATGGTTTCAATACGAGCTACGGGTGTAAAGACCTCATCGAAGTCTATACCATGCCTCTGTACGTATCCCTTAACCACGAGCCTTCCTTTGTATTTATTTATGCTGTTACCGAGTTTCGCTTTAGCTTAAAGACCCATTTCAAACCAATTGGTTTAACTTCAAAGGGTAAGTCAACTAAGCTCCTTGTCTTGTTCTTTGTTATTGACATGATTTCTTCTTCACACGCATCTTTCCAAACTTTCAGCTTACTCGCTTCTTTGAAGTCCCATGGTTCTTCATTAATGGCTAATAGAAGATGTTCTCCTTCTAGTTTAGCGAGAAGTACATATCGTTTAGGTGACTTGGCATTCTAACTTGTCTTTGCGATCTCCTTAGGGGTGGCTGAGCTGGCTGCGCTTCCTCCTCCACATTATCTTGCTCTTCCTCATTCTCTGTTTCGTTAACATCTTCTCCTCTTCTAACTCCATTGTTCCCAAATTCTCCAAAAGTAAGAGTAAAGGTTCCTGATTCTGAGACATTCCCTCTGTTTTCCACTTCCAGCTTTTGTGTTCATCAAAGACTACATCCCTACTAACAAAGATTTTCCGATTTGTTGGATCAAGTAGGCGATATGCCTTAGAACCGGGTTCTGTTCCAAGGTGAACAAGCATCCTAGACCGAACATCAAGCTTCTTTAGATGTGGAAACTCAACTTTGGCATAGCTAAGACAACCAAACACTCGTAGATGCTCAACATTTGGATTCTTCTTCTTAAAAGCTTCGTATGGTGTTTGATTTTCCAAGACTCTTGTTCCCACTCTATTGATGATATAAGTTGCATGTCTTACAGCTCTCCCCATAGGTAATTAGGCATGCTCATGTGTTTCAAGATGCTCCGAGTCATTTCCAGAAGTGTCCTATTCTTCCACAACACACCGTTTTGTTGTGGTGTGTAAGGTGCAGTTAAATGCCTTTTGATGCCTTTTTCAACACAAAAATCTTGAAAGTCTTGAGACACAAATTCTCCTCCTCTATCGATTCGGAATGTTTTAATAGCAACACCGGATTCTTGTTCTACTAATGCTTTGAATCCTTTCAACTTCTCAAACGCTTCACTCTTTTCCTTCAAGAGAATTGTCCACATATAGCGAGAAGTATGTGAGCGTTTCCTTCTCAAACGCTTCACGCTTCACTCTTGTTTGCAGCTGTTAAAGGTGATATCGGTCCACATAAATCCCCATGAATGAGCTCTAATTCTTGTGATGCACAATAAGAAGTTGCTTTCGGAAAGACTCTTCTTGCTGGTTTCCCAAGTAAACAAGAAGCACAAGTCTCTTTATCTTTTGACACATTAGCAATTCCAACAACTAACTCTTTTATTACCATTGTTTTGATGGTTTCAGGGCTGATATGTCCAAGTCGAGCATGCCACAATGTCGAGTTGTTTGTAGCAAGTAAACACTTCATGTTATCAACTTCCAATCGCACCTTGTACAACCTGTTTCTTGATCGACTCGCTTGCACCAACAAATTTCCAGCTCGATCATGTATAGTGAGATAGTCCTCTTTCATTCTAATGTCGCATCCGGAATCTGTAGCTTGACCCAAGCTAATGATTTTGCTCTTAAGATCCGGTATATAGTAGACATCCGCCAGCACTTTTCTTTCTCCTCCTTTGGCTATGAACGTGATCGATCCCTTCCCTTTGATGTCTATCTTCGAATCATCTCCAAAACGTACTTTTCCGGTAACCATTGGATCAATCTTACAAAACCAAGCATGATTCCCTGTCATATGATTACTATCACCATTATCAAGATACCAAAGATATTCGGAGCAATCATCATAATCTTGTGGCTTCACATTCTTCTCATTGAGTTACACTACTTCATGCACCATAAGAGACTCGGCTTCGTTAGTATCATCTTCTTCTTGGGGATTGTGAACTTCTTCTTGTGCCTTGATCAACTTTAGTAAACGATCTGGAAAATTGGATGCATAGTGACCATTTTTATCACACCGGTAACACGTCACATTGATTTATCCATTTATCTCTTTGTTGGTATCCACCACGACCTCTTCCTCTTCCTCTACCACGGCTCCAACCTCGTCCTCTACCTCCGTGCTGATTAAACTCTTGTGGCTGTGTGTCGGAGTTACAATACATAAGCTTGTTCGAACCGTCTTGTAAATCCTCTTCATCACAAATTCTTTCCTCATATGTTTTCAATTTCCTAACAATGTCTTCGGATGTTGTTGTCTTGAGATCAAGTACTTGCTCAAGAGCACCAGTGATGTGGATGTACTTCTTTCTTGGTAAACTCTTAAGAAACTTCTTAACAATCTTCACTTCATCAATGGTTTCACCCAAAGTTACGGATTTAGTGGATATTTCAGAGAGCTTCCCAACAAAGTCGTCGATCATATCGGTCTCTTTCATCTTTAATCTATCAAATTCAGCCATAAGAGTTTGTAGTCTCGCTTCTTTGACTCGATCAGCACCAAGGTTTCTTGTTTTGATGGAGTCCCATACGACTTTAGAGGTGTCGAGGTTTCCAACTTGCAAAATCATCGATTTCGGTGTAGAATGAAATAAGAGGGCCCGTGCTAAGTTGTTCTTGTCAACGTCTGTTGATCCAGGCTTAACTGTTTCCCAAACCTTGTGCACTTGAAGAGCGACCTTCATCCTAATCGCCCAGACGGTGTAGTTGGTTTGGGTGAGCAGCAGACATTGAATAGACGACGGCACACTTTCTTTTGGTTTGTTCGATGTCTCAACTAATTCACTCATGCTTTCTCGTGTTTGATCTCGGAACCTGGAGGCTCTGATACCAAATCGAGAATATCCATGAAGCTTTAAGAACACAACATTGACAAAGTAAAACTCACTTTATTAGCTTAAGAAAATTACTCAAAACTCTGTAAGATTGTATGTAATCTCCTTGAGGAGTGAGTATCATTGATGAATGTTTATATAGTGTACAAGAGTATCTTAACTACCAAATACAATCTATACAGTTATAAAGATTTGGATATATTCATATCTAATCTAACACTCCCCCGCAGTCGAAGCGGGAGGTTGACGGACGCTTAGACTGGACCGAAAGTCGAGGAACAGTGGTGACGGCAAGCCTTTAGTGAAGATATCCGCGTACTGATGAGCAGAAGGGACATGAAGGACACAGACCTGGCCTAAAGCAACACGTTCTCGAACAAAGTGAATATCGATCTCGATGTGCTTCGTCTGTTGATGTTGAACCGGATTGGAAGAGAGGTATACGGCACTCACGTTATCACAATAAACTAGAGTTGCCTTAGCAAGAGGTAGATGGAGCTCAAGGAATAAGTTCCGTAACCACGTTGTTTCGGCAACAGCATTTGCGACGCCTCGGTATTCAGCTTCAGCACTAGACCGAGAAGCCGTTGGTTGTCGCTTGACAGACCAAGAGATTAATTTATCCCCAAGAAAAACGCAGTAGCCCGAGGTCGAGCGTCGAGTGTCGGAGCAGCCAGCCCAATCGGCATCGGAATAGGCAACCAAACCATCAAGCGAGGAGCGATGCATCTGTAGTCCATGAGTAAGAGTGCCTTTGAGATAGCGTAGGATCCGCTTTAAAGCCGCAAAATGTTCAGTTCGTGGATCATGCATGTAAAGACAAATCTGTTGCACGGCATAGGAGATGTCGGGTCGCGTGAATGTGAGGTATTGAAGAGCACCGGCCAAGCTGCGATACAAGGTAGGATCATCGACCGGAGGGCCAGCATCAGCAGGTAATTTGGACTTTGTATCAACCGGAGTTAGACAAGAAGTACAGTTTGTCATCGCCGCACGTTCGAGAATCTGAATCGCATATTGACGTTGACTCAAAAATAGACCGGAGTCAGTCCGAGTCACCGCAATGCCCAGAAAGTAATGAAACAGGCCGAGGTCAGTCATTTCAAACTCGTCACTCAGCGAAGAGATAATGGAGCCGAGAAGGCGCGGTGAAGATGCGGTAAGGACGATGTCATCGACATAAAGCAAGAGATAAGCCAGCTCCTTATTACGTGAATAGACAAACAACGACTGATCACTCTTACTTTGGGAAAATCCAATCTTCTTAGCATAGGTGGCAAATCGATTATACCAAGCACGCGGTGCTTGTTTAAGACCGTACAGCGACTTCCGGAGCAAGCAAACATGATTGGGCCTTGTAGGGTCGACAAAACCGGGTGGTTGGTGCATGTAGACCGTTTCCTCTAGATCACCATTGAGAAAGGCGTTCTTGACGTCCAGCTGGTGAAGAGGCCAATCACGAGATACCGCAACGCCGAGCACCGCACGAATTGTAGCTGGTTTAACCACGGGGCTGAATGTCTCATCACAATCGACACCGACTTGTTGAGAGCGTCCATTGGCAACGAGACGGGCTTTGTAGCGAGCAAGGTTTCCGGCTGCATCATATTTATGCCTGAAAAGCCAAAGACAACGAATGATATTAGTAGCCTCTGGGCGTGGAACAAGGTCCCACGTTCTGTTTTTAATTTGGGCATCGATCTCCGAGGCCATGGCACCATTCCAGTTAGGATCCTTAGCAGCCTGTACATGAGAAAACGGAAGAGGAGAAATAGAGGAAACATTAAGAGTGAGCCGTTGAATTGGCTTAGTAATGCCACTCATGCTCCTCGTGGTCATGGGATGAGACGGAGGGGGGTTATTTGGCTGCAGTTGTGGCTGTGGAGGTGGTGGAACCTGAATTGGAGTGAGCGATGGGAGAGGTGGAGGTGTAGGTGTAGGAGGAGGAGAGACAAGCCGAGAAATGGGAGGTGGTGTGGGTGGAATATGAGCTGGTGGTTGAGCTTGTGAGATTGGTGGTGTCGTGATAGAGGAAAATGGGAAGACGTGCTCGGCAAATATGACATGGCGAGAGAAGATGATCTGACGAGTGGAGATATTTAAACACCGATACCCACGATGATCTTGTGGGTATCCGAGAAAGACACACGCAGTGGACCGCGGTGCGAGTTTGTGAGCTGAGACGGGAAGAAGGTTGGGATAACATAGACAGCCAAACACACGGAGATGAGAGTAAGAAACTGGTTTGTTGAGTAAGCGAGTGTAGGGAACCTCATTGTTAATGGCTGAAGAGGGGATAATGTTCAGCAGATATACAGCGGTGTGGAGTGCTTCGACCCAATACGTGAGAGGCATGGATGCTTGGACAAGTAAGGTACGAACCACATTGTTAATCGTCCGGAGCATTCGTTCGGCTTTGCCATTCTGCTGTGAGGTGTGCGGACACGAGAAGCGAAGAGTGGTTCCCTCCGACGCCAAAAAATCCAGCATGGCTCGGTTGTTGTACTCCCCACCATTATCACATTGTAAAGATTTGATTGTGCATTGAAATTGAGCCTTCACATAAGCAGATAAGTTTATATATCTGCTGAACACATCACTCTTTCTTTTTAGAGGATACACCCAAATAAATTGAAAATAATGATCAAGGAAAAGAAGATAATACTTTATTCCACTTAAGCTTGAAACAGGAGATGTCCATAAATCAGAATGAATAATTTCAAAACGGGAAGAGACAAAAGAATTTGAAGAAACAAATGGTAATCTTGTGTGTTTACCCAGCTGACAAGCATGACACATCGAAGAATTACTGATTTTATTAGTGGAAATGGAAGGAGAGGAGGCTGAAAGAAGACGAAGAGCTGAACTACTCAAGTGACCCAACCGTTTGTGCCAAACGTCATGTCCTGTCGAGCCTGTGGTAAGAGCAAGAGAAGAGGCATCCGTGGCAGGAAGCGTTACTGAATAGAGAGGTCCAGGGCTGTTACACCGGAGCAGAGGAGTTCGAGTTGGAAGGTCCTTAACAGAGAAACCAAAAGGGTCAAACTCGATAGTGCAATGATTATCAGTTACAAAACGGCGAACTGAGATCAAATTTTTGATAATAGAGGGACAAACAAGGATGTTGTTTAATTTAAGAGAGCGAGATAAGGAAGGAATACTCCCATGACCAGTGTGAGTAACAGGTGCTACGGTGCCATTTCCGACCTTAAGCAGAGGAAGATTGCCTGAATTAAAAACAGAATGAAGGGTACCTTGATCAGCCGTGACATGAGAGGTTGCGCCCGAGTCCATAACCCATGCGGGATCATACGGATCTTGAAGGCTCATTGTGCTGAATGCATTAGCCAACGCCGTTGGTATGTTCTCCGGAGAAGTCACCGTTGGAGACGTTTGCGCAAGATGAGCTTCGTATGGACGAGGAGCTGGGCCAAGAATACCACCAGAGGGACGAGGTTGTGGATGCGGGTACGGAGGTGCAGCAAATTGTGACAGCCCGGGGTAGTAACTCGACTGATGTTGCTGTGGTGGTGCGAATGCATAGGGATATGGAAACGGAGTTCCATAAGGCCAAGACTGTTGGGGTGACGAGTTGTTCCACGAGTGAGAACTGTTGTTGTTGGAGCAACCACCTCGGTTCCGGTTGTTGTTGTTGTTGTAGCGGCCACCGCGTCCACGTCCACGTCCACCGCGGTTGTTATTGTTGTTGTAACGGGGCTCTTGGTCAGATTCCGTGTACAGCACGTCAGGGCTGGAGTGATGATGCGGGCTAGTAGCAGAGGGGCGAGTGATCTTCTTAAGGCGGTCTTCCTCCATTATGAGCATCGAACGAGCTACTGCAAAAGAGGGAAACGGACTCTTGTGTTTAATGACATTGATAATTGAATCAAATTTGTCATTTAACCCATTTATCATATGCATCACAAGAGTACGCTCAGAAAATGGTGAGTCCACATTAGCGAGGAGATCGGATAAGGACTTCAGCTTCTTGCAGTAGTCATGGATGCTGAGATCACCGACTGTGAGGTTGCGAAGTTCATTGTCAATTTGCAAGGCACGAGCTTCCTTATTGTCCCGAAACAGATTCTCAATAGCAAGCCAGAGGTCGTGAGCAGAACATTTTGTTTTAAGAACGGTGTCGAGGATGGACTCAGAGATGGTGCCATAGATCCACATCTTGACAAGGCCATCACGTTCCTTCCAGGAAACATCAGTGGGTGACGACGGGGAAGACGAGCCATCGATGTGTCCCGACACACCAAAAGTGAGACAATGTGTCTCAAAGAGCTCTCTCCAAGTATCGTAATTGAGTTTCTCCATGTCCAGCATAATAGGAATGTATGCACGGATCTGAGAGATGCCAAAGGGTTTGTCATTGGTAGGATTCATGACGGAGAAGAAGAGATGACAAAGAGTAAGAGAACGAGAGAGCTGAAGAGAAATAAGAAAGGAGGAGCAAGCGGAAGAGAGAGGAGCAGGATCGATTAAGGCGACGGCTAGACCTAAAATTTTGAGGAGGTTCTAGGTCGCAAATCTGATACCATGTAAGATTGTATGTAATCTCCTTGAGGAGTGAGTATCATTGATGAATGTTTATATAGTGTACAAGAGTATCTTAACTACCAAATACAATCTATACAGTTATAAAGATTTGGATATATTCATATCTAATCTAACAAACTCAAGCTCTCAATCTCTCTTAAAACTCATAGGTTTACCACACCTTGGCAAGAAAACCCTCAAACTAATTTCCTTTATCACAGTAGGAAATATAACATAGTTCTAAACTTCTTTCTAAAAAACTTAACTAATCATAACTCGATTAGGAAAAGGGTTTACTTGCTCTCTAAGCCATCTTCTTCTTCAAGGCTACTCCAACACTTTGATCTCAGGTGTATGGTTCCTCATGACTGCAACAATTTCCATTAGAACAACTAGAGCTCAAAGCTTCACAC